GATAGATAGATAGATAGATAGATAGATAGATAGATAGATAGATAGATGAATAAATAAATAAACAAACAAACAAACAAATAAATAAATAAATAAATAAATAAATAAATAAATAAATAAATAAATAAATAAATAAATAAATAAATAAATAAATAAATAAATAGAAAACCTCACTAAATAAGACTGAGAAATAACATTTTCAATGGGTTGAGATGAAGCAAGGAGGAAAAAAAAATGTAATAAAAAGTTGCATTGTAGTTGCATTTTAAAGAGGAAAAAATCACATCCAGCCTCATATCTGAAGCCCCACATGTGTAAACATCTGGATTTCAGCATTGCATGACCGTTCTCTGCAGAGATGGATGAAGCATCCCTAATAAGCTGATGGGAGTCAGCGTGTGTGTGATGGGGAGAGGGAGTGACAGTGGTCGGGGTGTAACCGAACCCCCCTCCGTGTTGACAGAGTCAGGGGTCCTGACCCCGGCGTGAAGGGAAGCTCCAGGTCCTGTCACACCCTCAAAGAGAAGAGATTGAAGAGACCTCTAACTGCTGCCTGCATGCGTCAGGTTGTGTTTTCCCCCTCACTTTGAAGATTGTCTGCTAATTTATGCTCACAATTTCCTATTCGTACACTGGAGTCTCAACTTACGGGTAAAGGGTGTTAGCTAATGTTGGCCAAAAGTCAAGTTAGTGAGACTGTGAGGCCAAAAGTCTGCTGGTTTTTCGGAAGAAAGTCTGTTTTTCTTTCTTCTTTCAGACAGAGAAAGAGATTGATACTAAGGAATTAAACCCCAGACCCGCTTATCGTTTACTATTCGTACACTGGAGTCTCAACTTACGGGTAAAGGGTGTTAGCTAATGTTGGCCAAAAGTCAAGTTAGTGACACTGTGAGGCCAAAAGTCTGCTTGTTTTTCGGAAGAAAGTCGGTTTTTCTTTCTTCTTTCAGACACAGAGAGAGATTGATACTAAGGAATTAAACCCCAGACCTGCTTATCGTTTCCTATTCGTACACTGGAGTCTCAACTTACGGGTAAA